TTCATCATGCAGACATGTTTCTGCTTTTCATAGAATCATAGAATGGTTTGGGTTGGAAGGGACCTTAAAGATCATCTAGTTCCAAATCCCCTGTATGGGCAGGACACCTCCCACTAGATCAGGTTGCTCAGAACCTCATCCAATCTGACATTGAGCTCTTCCAGGGATGGGACACCCACAACTTACCTGAGCAGCCTGTTCCAGTGGCTCACCACCTTCACACTAAAGAAGTTCTTCCTAATGTCTGACCTAGATCTACTATCTTTCAATTTGAAACTGTTACCCTTGTCCTGTCACTTCACGTCCTTGTAAAAAGTCACTCCCCAGCTTTCCTGTAGGCCTCCTTCAGGTACTGGAAGGCTGCTCTAAGGTCTTCCCAGATCTTTCTCTCCTCCTGGTTGAAGAACCCAAACTCTCTCAGCGTGTCTTCACAGGAGAGGTGATTCATCCCTCTCTGATCATCTTCATGGCCCTCCTCTGGACTCATGCCCAACAGCTCCATGTCCACATGTTGGGAGCTCCAGAACTGGACAGAGTACTCCAGGTAGGATCTCATCAGAGTGAAGTAGAGGGAGAGAATCGCTTCCCTTGACCTGCTGGCCTTGCATCTTTGGATGCAGCTTGAGATATGGTTGGCTGTCCTGCAATCACACATTGTTGGCTCATGTTGAACTCGTAATCAATCAACACTCCCAAGTGCTTCTCAGGGCTGTTCTCAGTCCATTCGCTGCTCAATCTGTATTTGTTCTTGGGATTGCCCTGACCCATGTGCAGGATCGTGCACTTGGTCTTGAATTTCATGAGTTTGCACGAGCCCAACTCTCAAGCTTGTCAGTGTCCCTCTGAATGGCCTCCTTTCCCTCCAGTGTGTCAACCACACCAAACAGCTTGGTGTTGTGAGCAAATTTGCTGAGGGTGCACTCAATCCCACTGACTATGTCGTCAACAAAGATGTTAAACAGCACCAGTCCCATTACCGGCTACTGAGGAACACCACTTGTCACTGCTACACTTGGACATAGAGCCATTGACCACAACTTTTTGAGTGTGACCACCTATCCTTATCCACTGAGTGATCCATCCATCAAGTCCATGCCTGTCCAATTTAGAGACAAGGATGTTTTGTGGGACAGTGTCAAATACTTTGCAGAAGTCCAGGTAGATGACACTGGTAGCTCTTCCCTGATCCTCCAACACTGTAACCCTGTCAGAAGGCCACCATATTTTCCAGGCATGATTTTCCCTTAGTGAAGCCATGTTGGCTGTCACTAATCACCTCATTATTTTTCATGTGCCTTAGCATAGTTTCCAGTTAAAATAAATAAATAAATTCTATCTGCTGACTTGACTTGTCATCTAGAGATCTTTGCTGCTTGTTGGGAGCTCATATTCAGGCTGTAACAGAGAGGCTGCTGAGGCTTATCTGACCCTCGGTTACCTGCTGCTGCTCTTTCACATAGGCACCAATGATACTGTTATCATGGCCTGGGAAGTATTACATGTGACTACATGTCTCTAGGTGATAAAACATAGGTCAAGCAGGATGTTTTTTCTCTTCAATTTGATAAGGCTTTGGACTCTGTTTCTCATAACATTCTAATCGAGAAGCAAAGTAGGGGTTAAATAAGTAAACGGATCACTTGAAAACTGGCTGCACATCTGTACCCAGATGGGTACAGATCAGTTGCACAAAGTCAGTTAAGAGCCAAGTGACTAGTGGTGTACTCCCAAAATCAGACATTGATCCAATCCTGTTTAATGTCTTCATTAATGATCTGGATGATTGAGCAGAGTATACTTTCAACAAGTTTGGTGATGATATCAAACTTTGAGGAAGAGTTGTTACACCAGAAGGTTATGCTGCCATTCAGACGGACCTCAAAGGACTGGAGAATTGGGCAGAGAGGAACCTCATGAAGCTCAGCAAGGGGAAATGTGAAGCCCTGCACCAGGCCAGGAATAATCCCATGTGACTGTACATCCTGGGTGCAAACTGGCTAGAATGCAGCTCTACAGAAAGGTAATGGGATCCTGGTGGAGAGCAAGTTGAACATAAGCTAGCAATACACCTTCATAGTAAGGGTGACCAACAGCAACCCAAACAGCATTTAAAAGGGCATTGCTAGCAGATTGAGGGAAGTGACCCATCCTCTCCACTTAGCACTCGTGAAGTCATGTGTAGAGCATCAAGTCCAGTTCTGCTCCCTAGTACAAGAAAGAGATGACCTTACTGGAGCAAGTCCAGCAAAAGAGCCACAAAGGACTGGAGCATCTTATGTGTGAGGAGAGGCTGAGAGCTGAGATTGAGCCTTGAGAAGGGAAGGCTTGGGGGAGTAGATCTTATCAATATGAATAAAGAAGAGAAGCCAGACTATTTGGTAGTGCCCATTGACAGGATAAGAGTCAATGAGGTCAAATGAAAACACATGGAAGTCCATCTGAAAACATTTTTTTTTACCATGAGGGTGATCAGACACTGGCACAGGCTATCTAGAGAGGTTGTTGAGTTGTTTGGCTGTGGAGCTTTTCAAAAGCCATCGAGACATAGTCCTGGCCACCTGCTTTAGGTGACCCTGCTGGAGCATGGGGCTGGACTAGATGATCTCCAGTGGTCCCTTCCAACTGAAACAACTCTGAAAACTTTTTAAGGTCCTGGTACTAAAAGCAGGAAGTTCAAAAAACGGGAACTGTGAAAAGAAGAAAAACCTACTGAGTTGATTACTGTCATGCTAAAGGGATAGAAACCCTATTTGGATTTGTCCCAGTGTAACTGTGGTAGCACATGCCATCTATTCTTCTTTTCTTCTCCAACTTCCATATAGCATGGGCCAAATGACAGTGCAGCAATGCTAACCAAAGAACAAAGGTTCATGGCAGTACAGGCACTGGGTATTGCAGCAGTTACGTTGTGCTTGAATTCTTCCACAGAATGCAACACACTGCACCTGAGGCACCTCAAATATATGTGGCTTGTAGAGAATGGTGTTGCCCCAGAGAAGAAGAGGAGGAAAAGCTGTTACAACAAGTGAAGCATTGCACTTCCTCTTCAGTGTGTGAAGAGCATATTTTGCAACTGTATATGTTACCATCACTGCATCTGAAATGTGAGAAGTGGACAGGATGATGTTTGATAGGCAGTTCTTTATAATATAAACCAAATGGGAAACACATCTCAACCAAGCATATTCCTCCCTATGAAAAGCTTTGCAACTGTTGAAATCCAGGCTAGGTTAGTTTTCAGATAGTACTAACTGGAGAGGATTTTGAATTTTGCCCTTGTGTGTTGCCACTCCCATGTTGGGGCAGGTTCTTAGGGTATACATAGTGACATAGTGATTTTTTTAATGCCTGCTTCTTTAGAGATTCTTGCTAATTACTCTGAGGAGGAATAAGAGATTGAATCCAGTTATTAAATGTAGCAGCAGCACTTCAAAGGAAGTCTTCACTCAAAAGCCAGCAGGATTTCAAGCAGTAGCATACATTTGCTCAAAGTATCAGAGTGGCTGTGGCTTGTGTTCAGTTTCTGCATTTGCTGTGAAATGAGCTGAGAAATGCATTTCAATCACAATACTCAAAATAGTGTTAGGTTATACTTGTTAACTAATGTTTTATTGAGTCATGGTCCCCACATGTTTACTGCTGCTCAGAAACAAATATTCTGACACAGCGATGTTCCCCTAGTAGAAAAGCCAGTGTTTATATTTTAGAGGAATGGTGAGAGTGGATTCAAGTGGATTTGTGCTGAAGCAGATAAGGAGAATACAGGTGAGCAGTGCAGACAGTAACTTTTTCCTCAAGGCAGTAACACATAACTTTGCATGGAAACTTGTTAAACTGACTCTAGCTGATCCACAAGTCATCTCTCTGTGCCTTTGTGATGTTTCCTGTGTCACTGGCTGTGTCTTTCCGGCTTCAGACAGAGAGTCATTTGTTGCAACAAATTTTAGATAGAGTCCTTAGTACTTTTACTTGGAATCTGTCCTTTGTGTCTTGCATCAAGCGTCTTGGTACTGTTTGATGTGTATTTTTGGGCTATTTGAAGATGATTGCAGCTCTGTAGACAGTTTCTTACTGTTTTTGAGGAGGAAGTAACAAGTTGGATGAAATAATGTATACCGTATCCAAAATGTTGGGAAACCCTAACTTTATTAAATGAGCAAAAGCTCTGGTGTTTTTTGTTCTGTACTAATCTAAATAAAACAATGAAGAATATATATCTTTCATTCCATTTGCAGCTTCTTTAGGCTTCTCCCTCCTCATTTTTAATATAGTCCTATAATTAAAACTTACTTTTTCATATGATATGAAAGAACATTCATGGTATGTAGATCTTTCTTTCATTTAAATACCTTGATATCACAAATATGTCTTAAAAATATCTAGTAGCCAAGCTTAAGAGAACTATCACACTCAACATTTTAATCGTAGTTTTTCCCTTTGGCACAATTTGTGCTTTGCATTCTTCAAGTTCTTTAGTTGTACAAGCCTGTACCTTACACTCTCCAGGACTGAATAGTGGAACCTGAAATTAGTTATTGCTAAATACAGCTTGCTGATACTCCTTTTGTAGCCAAAATGGATTTTAAAAAGACCTCAATGTAAGTAAGGGTTTAATTAACGACCTGAAAAATTCTGTGTCTACAGGAGAAATTCATCATGTCTCACTAGGGTAGAGCTGATTTTTGCAAAAGATAGGTAGATAATTTCCTAGGGTCAACATTATTTTAGGCAGTCATTTAAGGGGAAGAGGGATTAGGATATGGTGATACATTTTTCAGGTTTCCATGATAAAAATCCAATAAATGGATTGTAACTCCTACATCCATGGTGTAGGAAACAGGTCTCATTCCTTAGTGGGATGAGGAAGCTGTGAGTCTGAAACTAGAGTACTTTATCCTTTCTGCTACAAATAAGAATATAACATGCTGTTTTCAAATTAGTAATCTCAGTGTTGTTCTTCTTTCTCTGAATGAAAAAATGTATTTGCTTCTCTTTCGAAGAACTCACAGTGGAACAGAAAAAAGAAGACATCTATGATGAGTTTCAGTTTCATCAGAATTTTCAAAAATCCCAAGAATTTTTCATCCAAGCAGAAGCTGAAGCACTGAAACTTTCAAATTTGCCAATAAGCAGTCAAAGAGAAGAAGCACCAAAATATTATAATTCCAGACCTGAAGAATCAAGGTAAAAGCAAATCATCCCTATATATAGTTTTTCTAGCATGTTGAACCATCTCATCTGCAAATATATTGTATGTAGGATCCTAAAGCTATAGGAAGGAATTGTGATAGATATTATATAAATTGCACAAGATCTGTCCTTCCCCAAATAGATGGCAATTAGGATATGAGAAAATATATTGATATAGAATGACCCAGGCAATGTTGGATCAGTGTTGATTTGCATGATAGTTGATGGTCTTAGTGTGCCATCAGTGTGAGTTGTTTCCTTTTAGACATCAGGAGAAAAACATTTGAGGGATTGAAAAATGATCATGAGGTATATTCAAACATGTTAATGGGAAGCATCTCCTGAGCATGGAGAGCACACCCCAGAAAAAGAGGTTTGTAGTGTCTGGGTAATGGTATCCAGGGGCATCTATCACTCACAGTCCAGAACACTACTGAATGAAATTTGCTAGGCAGAGCAAAGATTAAATAGTCTTTGAATTATCTTGAAGATGAAGGCAAGCAGTTTAAACAGTCTTCAACCTCAGATATAGTGTAATACACTAAGTGAGTACTTTTTTGATATCTATCTCCCTACTGTCTATGTTTGATGTGCTTTACGTGGCACCATAGTTTGCCTGCAGAGTATAGATACTAACTTCCTTCTTAATGAACCATAGAGAACATTGTGCAACAGATAGCTTTCCTTTTCTTTCTAGGATGTGACTTACAAATAATGAAAGTATTGTATAAAGTAGAAATAGGAATTCAGAAGGTACAACTTCTCTGTGGCTACTTCTTGTGACTCATGGATTATGAAGCATAAACAAAAAATGCTTATGGGAAATGAGTGTTAAAATATTTACTAGTGAATACATTTTAGATTATTAATAAGTTTTTGTAGTTATTTCTGTATATTTTGTTTGGGCTAAGAGGGAGGAACTTGCTTTGCATTATTTTTCTTTCTTTCTCTTTTTTCCCCCCTCCTAAAAAAAGCACCTTAGAAAGAAAGACTAACAGGATGGTCCCTGAATTTATATCCTCATGGGAAGATGCTGCAGATGTAGATGGGAAAACAGAAACTGCGTTCCTTTTGAAAGAACTGGACACTCTGAGGGCCAAAAATAAAAAGGTACAATTTAGATATTCCACTATCAGTATTTGCTCTTTTAGGATTGTCTTACAAAACATACATTTAAAACTGCTCCTAATTTAGTTTTGTTATTTATTTTACTGCACCAATCAATAGCTTTCTTGTCATTTTGCATTCTTAGTATCTGCTTAACAACTGCTTCTCTGGAATAAAAAAATTCTTTGATCCTACTCTTCAACCTTTTTAATCAGTGACATAAGTTCTTGCATCGTGGATGAAAACCAAGGAGAACCAAAACCAAGGCCAAAATTTAATTAATAGAATCAAGAATTTACACTTCTGTACATGTGGTCCAGATAATGAATCTGCCCCGATACCTCCTCTTTGTTGAAGGAAAGAAATTTCCTTGAACACTGCGTTGCTTCTAGCATTAGTAGTAGTTGCATGGGCCTAACCAAAAGAAAACTCTTATCATCTTTCCATGGAGTGTCTTTGAATATTCTATGGCAGGCTCAGTCCAAGAACAGTTTTAGTGAATTCCCAATTGAAAGAAAGGCCTCAACATGTGAAAGAATACCAGTTTTCAATCTGGCAATGTGCATGAAAAATTACAAATTTAAGTCTCGTAAGTCTGTGATGTCAGTACTCTTGGTAGGAAATAGGCTATTCCTCCAGACATTATCTGCATTATGTTCCATGTAGATCTGAACTTCCTTAGTGAGAACCACAGCTGGTGATACCTGAAGAAGAGAATTCCAAATGAAAATAATGGCTCACCCATTGCTGCTTGCCTCACAGAGCATGATAGGGCAGATGATAAAGAAGTTATTTTTAACATTTGCCCTTTAAATAAATAAATAAAATTAATTGAACATCTGTTGTAATGTTTAGTGTTTACATTTTGGGAGTAAGAAACCATTATTTAAAATGTTGTGGTTGAAAGAGCTGGTTAACTGTTTCACCTAGATAAGTATCTTACTGTCCATTTGTACAATGCAGCTTCAAGATAAGCTGTCTGAAAAGGACAAGGAGCTGAAGACAATAAAACTGGACTTAGAACTGCAAGAGAGAGCGACAGAAGCAAAGATTGCAGAGAAGATTGCAGGTACAGTAGATAGGCGTTTAACAGATGGCTGTATGGCTCATACAGGACCTGTGGTTGCTATATGACGTGGCCTAGTGAATGTTAGCTTTATTTGCTAAAGGAGGGAAGATTTGACTTTTTTTTTATGTATGGCTGTTTAGAGTTGCTTAGAAAATAGGTGGCTTTAACATCCTGGTACTGGTATTAGCAGGAGGTTTACCTGTATTCATACTGATTTGGGCATTAAATGCATTGTTAACACCATGTCAATCCAATCACAAAAAGGTTGTTTGTTTTGTTGGAAGGTCCTGAACAAACAAGGGGAAATAATGATTACCAGTGCCTCTACCTTTCAACCAGCAGTTCAAATACCACTTATTGTTTTAGCTTGTTCAGAGCAATACTACCCGCTCCCTGTGTATGGACGTGGTCACACAGTCACCTCAACTAGAGGCTGCACTTTTCTTGAAAAATCTGTTTTCTGGTAGTTAATGATTTTTTTTTCTCATGATGGTATGTCTCCAGTGAATAAAGTTTATACCAATTCCCAAAATAAAAGGTTTTCAAATTTATAGTTGAAAATGAGTGCATGCTTATATTTGCTATTAATTGTTCTTTGGGTAGACATATTAGAATGGAGGCAGTTTGTATTGTATGATTTTAGAAAGTTCTAAAGTAATGAAGCTGAGTATTTGTATTATTGAAAAGTCACTGTGTGTACAGTGTACCCAGTGGATGAAAAATACTCTGAGATTTTTCTCCAGGTGTTTCACAGAAATCAATGGGAGAGCGTTTGTAAATTCGTCGTATCATTTGTTCATAAATAAAGTGTAAGCTAGGTAAAATTGTGTCCTCACAGACCACACACACTTCCTATAGCCTAAAACATATTTTCCTGGTAGTTAATGATTTTTTTTCTCATGATGGTATGTCTCCAGTGAATAAAGTTTATACCAATTCCCAAAATAAAAGGTTTTCAAATTTATAGTTGAAAATGAGTGCATGCTTATATTTGCTATTAATTGTTCTTTGGGTAGACATATTAGAATGGAGGCAGTTTGTATTGTATGATTTTAGAAAGTTCTAAAGTAATGAAGCTGAGTATTTGTATTATTGAAAAGTCACTGTGTGTACAGTGTACCCAGTGGATGAAAAATACTCTGAGATTTTTCTCCAGGTGTTTCACAGAAATCAATGGGAGAGCGTTTGTAAATTCGTCGTATCATTTGTTCATAAATAAAGTGTAAGCTAGGTAAAATTGTGTCCTCACAGACCACACACACTTCCTATAGCAATAATGGGACTCACAGCCATTCTGAAAATATTGGTGCTGAAGGGAGGAGTAACTGTCTCAGGACAATGGAGTAGAAAATAAACTCTCCAGCTGAAAAAAACCAGATGGCTGACTTTCCATTTAATGTCAAACTCCTGAGAATACAGTATGGTGTGTATATTATAGATAGAGGAGAGATTTTCTGTGGTGGAGGAAGGGAAAGGAAAATATAATCTACTTATTAGGAAATAAATTGATATACATGCATACTTTTAATCCTTTTTCATTTCACACAAACTTACTGCTTTATTTTCAGAGGGAAAAAAAAATCCACACTGTGTATCACAGTGACATCTAGCAGTCAAAAGCTAATGGAAATTGTTTGTGTTGGATCCTAAGTTTTGTGTTTGTTGCTGGATATTTGCAGTGTTTTATCTCTGTGCCTATAATAGATAAATATTCTCTTTCATATGGGTGTTCACTCCTCATTAAAACCTGGAAAGAAATGTATGTCAAAAGGTGTGTCAGAAGCATGTTTAATTTCAGTTTTATGGATACAGTTCAAATTTTGTTATTAAATTGTTTTTTTCATTCCTTACTGTTTAAACTTTCTAATTATGTCCTACGCATAAAACTCACTTCAAAACAGTATGGCACGATACTAAGAATTAACATTGTTATTCCATTTTAAAAGGAGGAGTAAGCCAAATTTTAATGAGAGCCACAATGTGTAATAAGGATGACCTTTAAAAATGTATCCTTTTTTCTCCTTTTACAAGTTCAGGAAGTATAAAATCCCTTAAATGCCGAGAGAGAGGGCAAGAGGCTCCTTACTACTTAAACTGTTTGCAAAAAGGAAACATCATTAATATTTCATGGGTTTTTTGCTTCATGTCTTACACTTCTAAGAATGTTACCAAGTTTGGATAAATGTTTTGAAATCTGGAATGGTGTGAACGAAACTGAATTCGTGGAGGTTTATGTGTATCTCAAAAAAGCCTTGGAGAGAGTTCTAATGGACAAGCAGAACCTAATAAACACTCAGTGTGTTTAAGGAAAAACTTTTTCCCCTTGTGCTAAGTCCTCTGAGGAAAGGAGAACACATACTGCTGTGATTTCATGTTGCTAGTTAATGTTTAATTACTGCAGTGTATAACATATGGTAGGCTGAAGCTTGTATGGGTGTTTGCATTTTTATTATTACTACTGACTTTATGATAAGAAAATAACTCCAAAATTATATTATAAAAACCATGAGAAAGGTACACTATTAAAATGTTATCTACTTTGAGGAATATTACAATTCTGTTTTAAAATTTATCCCTCTTATTGATGGGTTTTACCTAAACAAGTCTCATGGAAAGAACAGAAAAGCAGAAGACAAAGGCCATTTTTAAATTAAACTACAACAGTCGTCAGAAACAAATAACTCAAAGCTTGTAACTTTATGATTTTTACTTTGTTCAGAGGTAGAAGTGAAAAGTGTAAATTTGTGAAATGCTTCATGAGAGAACACAAAAAAGTCAAGGTAAGGCAGAAGATATACAAGATGGAAGAGAATGTTTATTGTTGTGTACAGTAAATAACTTATTTTCAGAAGGTGTTTCTTTTTAATTTTACAAGCCTGGAAGATGGACTTTAGAACTTCCTTGGGTCCCTGTCTCTGTGTCAAATAGCTATGACCAAGGAGAACTAGGGAATTGACAGTTTTGGTTGCAGGCTTTTAAGCATCAGAGACAGTTATTTCTGGTGGTCGCAGTTGCCACAGGTTCCTGCTCTTTCTTCTTTATCATTATTGTTCTGTTGGATATCCTCTCATTATAAGCCAATGTTGGAAGGTACTAGTAGTTTCACTCCCCATCATGAAAAGAAGAACAGAAGTGGAGGCAACATCAGGAAAATCAAGGGAAAAGTACATCATCAAAGAACTGAGACTAAGATAATGTAAGGAAAAAGGGGAACAGGATATGTGAACAAAGAATCTTGAAATGTGAGACTGCAGAACTTTCATATGTTGAAAAGAAAAAGAATGAGTGTACTCTGATGAGGTGGGGAAGTCTGTCTTCTGAGGACAGACTGGAAGATTAGGATGGAGGCATTGAAAAGGACTGTCTTCAAAAAGAACTAGCAGAAAGAACAGATCTCACTTTGGACAGATGTACTAAGTGACTTCATTTTGTCTTACAGAAGAATAATACAGGGGATATATTGGAACTTTTAGAGGAAAGAGCTGGCTGAACCTAAAGGACAACTGTAGAACATAGTGGAAGCCTTTTAAACAGGAAAAATTTGTGGAGTCCTGGTCTTCTCACAATAACTCCCACCATTACTGCAACGATATATCATAGTTGGCATCAGAGCCTTACCTCTTGGCATGTTTTTGTTCCTATCACAGTGCTATATGCTGGGATTGAGGATAATTTTGAAGACAAATAAAGCAAAAAATATTTCTCATTAAATCTTTCTTTTATGGTGTTTTGTTTGGGGTATTTTTGCCAATATCTAATAATAATGTTGCCAAAATATAGTACTTCTTTAAATCAGAATCAGCTGATTGAGTCCAGACCTGCTAGTTCTGTTAGGTGTTGCACCTCTAATGCCTGAAAACTGTGTCTAGCATTCTGCAGATGCTGTCTGAAAGACCAGGATAATTTTGGGAAATATAGTTTGGAAAAAGGGGGAAGCAGTCCTTCTAATACTGTTGTATATGTTATACAGCTTTCTGTCTCTTAGAACCTATAGCAGTATACCTACAATGAGTATCTGTTTTTGTGGTCTGTTTTTACAAAAAAGTTGATGATTATCACATTTGTGATATTTGGGGATTCTTGAGTATGGTATGGAAATGTTCATGAACATTATTTAAAGTTTCCTAATTTAACTTGAAAAATAATTACTGAATTCATATGCAATAGTTTTAATAGCAAAAGTGAAAACAAGGATCCAAGTGGCTATTAGCTTAGAGTTAGTTTGATTTAATATCCCATAAAGTAAGAGGAAATAAGTAATCTTACCAGTAATAAACTTTGGGTGGCAATAGCTTCCAGTGCAGAAGAGAAGTATTTTCCATTTCTTCAAAGCTCACTTTAGGTTCCCTTTTTAGATGTTATTTTTCTTCCTTGCATGTCATCCATTAAAGATTAGCTGTGGAAGGTTGGAGCATGGAGAGATTATGAATGACAGAACAACTCCTGCAGAATAATAATCAGTTTTTGGTATTTAATGCTGTTTGACTTTTGCAGACACATTTCTTATTAACCTTTGGTACAAACAGAAATCCAGGTTCCTGATATCTCATGGAGAAGATGAATTCAAGATCCTCTTCCAATTAAACTGAAATAAGGCCAATATTGGGCTTTAGCCAAAAGAACTCAATAGTTTTCAACCCTTGTGTTTATAAGCCTAAATATAAATTCTATTTTACAGTTTAAGTGGGTGACACATATACTTCCCTAACTCAGTTTTCTGTGCATAATTCATTTGTATGTAAAGTCTAAATAGTTCTTAGCAGGTTTTTCCTATTAAAGCTCCATTATACAAAGCTACTTCCTGAATATTTTTTAAAAATATTTTCTCATAAACAGCTGTAGGATTTGAATCCTCTGTGTGGGAAGGCAGAAAATCCATCTAAATGGAAGAAAACAAAAATAAAAAAGGTGGGGCGGGTGGATGTTGTGACTGAGAACATCTTGGCTTATTTTTTAACAGCATAATTTGAAACAATGTACTTTTAGTTTCAGATTGTCAG